CGGGCCAGGGGCGGAGCCTACCTCACAGCGGGCCAGGCTCCGCCCATAGCCCCGCCCGGTGGGAGGTGCGTACCTGCGGCTCCTTGCGGGCCACGCCCCCAACCGCCTTCCCTCCTGCCCATCAACTTGTGGTGTGCGCCTAGAGGGGCTCCCCCTGGGCCTGAGGCAGGGCACACCTCGCGGGCCGCCCAATGAGAGGCTCGAGTTTACGTCTTGGCCCCTCCCAAAGACGACGGAGGCCTCGCTAGGCCACGCCCCAGGCTGTAGGCCACGCCCCTGACTTTCCCAGCCTGCGATGGGGTCTGAATGGTAGAGCAGGCAGGTCCCTTTCCGGTTAGGTTCCCGCCTGTGGACGCAGGAGGGGTCGGTCGGTGTTGGAAAGACAAGGCCTCACCAGCTCGTTTGCACATGGCCCCCGATGGAACCTTCTAGTACCTTCTGGGGTGACTCGATTCCCACCCCGGGAAGCAGGTACCCCACCCTTGTGGAAAAAGCCATCCAGTGAGGAAGGCCCTGTCCCGGAGCGGGAACAGGATGTGAGGTGATCCCTAGGCGTCCAAGTGTGTTTGGGCGCCAAACTGGTGACTGGGGGAGGGGCTGCACCCAGAACCTCCATGGACTTTTCTAGAGCTGAAAGTCTCCAGTATGGCTGCCCACAGTGAGGCTATGACACGAGACCTTGATACTGCAAGCAGTAGCTGACATAATAAATTATATGCACATATATATTTGTAACATTATATATAATAAGTTATGTATTGTTTTTTGGAGTTGTTTTTTTTTTTTTGGTTCTTTGAAACAGGGTTTCTCTGTTGTAGCCCAGGCTGTCCTAGAACTCGCTTTGTAGATCAGGCTGGCCCTGAACTCAAAGTGCACCACCACCAGGACACACTCACCACTCCTGGCCTTAACTACATTCTTCAGTTTGTCTCCTCAAGGCTGCTCCTGTGTTGGGTCCAATCTCTCAAGGTGGTGTCCTGTTCCAGGATCAGGATCCCCGGGGAAAACTCTCCAGCCGCCAAGCAGGTCAAGGTGGCGTCTCTCCAGTATCTCCAGCAGTCTTGAAGATGTGTGGAGCAGAGCGTTGCTCTTGGCCTCTGCTTATAGACTGTCCAGTGGTCGTCATGAGTCTGCTTATCTTGAATGAGTGGAGTCGCTGGGTGTAGTGGGGTTCCCGACTAAGCTGTTCTTATTTGTCTAAACGCATTTTTTTTTTTCTATTCTCATCACAGTTGAGAGGTGACGGGCCTGTACTCTGAGTTCCATCCAGATGGTGGTCCTCACCCCCACTAGGTCAGGAATCACAGTCCCAGAAGCTCAGATGGCAATTCTGGGGTCTCCCAACAGCGCTGGCCAAGGGGGAGAGGTGTGCCACAGGCCACTGGTTCTTCAGGTAATTCTCTTGAAGTGGTCCCCACATTGTCACCAAGCATTACTGGTCTGTATAAGCTTGGAGACTGTGAGTGGTATGAGCAGGTGAGTTGTAAATGGTGAGTGGTGGAGAGGATGTGTGTGACTGGGTGAGTGTGTAAGTGGTATGAATGGGTGTGTGGTGTGAATGGGTGTGTGGTGTGAATGGATGTATGGTGGAGATGTGGGTGAGTGTGAAGTGGTGTGAATGGGTTGTGGTGTGAATTGATGTATGGTGAAGGGGATGTGTGTGAGTGGGTGAATATGTAAGTAGTGTGAATGGGTGTGTGGTGGAGGGGATGTGTGTGAGTGGGTGAATGTGTAAGTGGTATGAATGGGTGTGTGGTATGAATGGGTATGTGGTGGAGGGGATGTGTGTGAGTGGTGTGAATGGGTTGTGGTATGAATGGGTGTGTGGTGTGAATGGGTTGTGGTGTGAATGGGTTGTGGTGGAGGGGATGTGTGTAAGTGGTGTGAATGGGTGTGTGGTGGAAAGGATGTGGGTGAGTGGGTGAGAGGGTAAGCAGTGTGATGGGGTGTGTGAGTGGGTGACCAGTGGAGGGGGAATGTGTGAGTGGGTGAGTGGAGTGAGTGAGTGAGTAGTGTAGGTGTGGGATGGGCAGGTCTCTCAACAAGGCTGGTTGTATGGGTTCACACTCTGACAGCAAGACAGAAACAGTGAGAACCAGATATGGTAATGCAAGGAATTAGTTAGCCCAGTCACCAGCTAACTTGCTAGCTAACCAACTATTAATGCATCCATCTAGTAACCTGTTCATGGTTTATCCAGCTTGCCAGTTGATCCACTCATTATTAACCCATTCATCCATTAACCAGTTAACTTGGTCCCTAGTTAAGCCATTCATCTGATAACCCATTCACCAGTTACTCTTGTCTTCAGTGAACAGATCTGCCAGGGCTGGGCCCAAAGTAACCTAGACCTTGACCCCAGTTGCTAAGTTTCCTGTGTCTCTTCTTGTTGGGGTCCTCTAAAGGCTCCTTGACACCAAGTGGCCGTCTTGTCCCTTGTGAACTGAGTCGCCCACTCCCAGGCTGTTTGTTACCTTGCACACATTTTAATTGGGCATCTGTATAGAACTTGAGCAAGGGACACAGGGCAGTGCGAATTGGCATTGTAACTCCATTAACATGGTTGGGGAGTAGTCTGGGTTACCAGTGAGATTCCTTTATGGCCGAATTGGGGTCTTGGATGTAGGGAATACCGATGCCACCTCAGTTCAGAGACAGAATGTCCATAGTTGGAAGCTTACCAGATGAGCCATTCAGGACTCTATCTTAGACTGAGTTCATGGTTCACTGCTACATTCTCACCCTGGGGAGATAGCTTAGTGGGCAGAATGCTAGCTGTCCCTGTTGATCTTTGTTTATGATCTAACAAAGCTTGCATGAAGATCAGAGTGCAAAGCTAGCCACACTAGTTAGTCATAGAGGCCAGGCAGTGGTGGTGCACACCTTTAATCCCAGCACTCGGGAAACAGAGTCAGGTGAATCTCCGTTAGTTCAAGGCCACCCAAGCCTACAAGAAATTAATCCAGTCTAAAAGAGAAACAGAGCTGACACAAAGGTGATCCCAGCACTTGGAGTGACATGTCATTAATCCCGGCACTAAGGAGGTAGAGACAAAAGTGGACAGGATGGACAGAGAGGAATGTAAGGTGGGAGGAGACAGGGAGGAGGCAGTCTGAGGAGTCAGTCTGAGGACAGAATCGCCCCTGTGGTCTGAGTATTGGTAGAGGTGAGAACTCTCTAGTGGCTGGCCGCTTTGCTTCTCTGATCTTCAGCACTAACCCCAATATCTGACTCTGAGTTTTTATTATTAAGAACAATTAGGGGGGCTGGAGAGATGGCTCAGAGGTTAAGAGCACTGATTGCTCTTCCAGAGGTCCTGAGTTCAATTCCCAGCCACATGGTGGATCACAAACATCTGTAATGCGATCTGGTGCCCTCTTCTGGTGTGCAGATATACATGGAAGCAGAATGTTGTATATATAATAAATAAAATCTTAAAAAAAAAAAAAAAGAACAATTAGGCTGGGTGGTGGTCGCAGGGCACACGCCTTTAATCCCAGCACTCAGGAGGCAGAGGCAGGGGGGGCTCTGTGGGGTTTAGGGCAGCCCGGTTTTCAAAGGGGGGGGCCGGGGAGGCCGGGGGGCAAAAAAAAAACCAAAACCAAAAGAAAAAAAAAAAAAAAAAAACAATTAGAATTGGTGCTACACATGAGGTCCTGAGTTTGACCCGGAACTCATAGCAAAAGGCCAGATGTGATGTGGTGGAGGCATGCTTCTAAACCCATCTCTGGAGAGACCAAGAAGGACAATGCCTGGAGCTGGCTAATTGGCCCACCTCTGCTGATGGGGTGCTCATGGTGAGTGGGAGACAGTGTCTTCAAACACAGAGTGGGAAGAACATGAAGAATGACATGGGATTGACTTCTGACCTCCATGTGCGCGCGCGCACACACACACACACACACATGAACATGCATACACACACAAGTCTAAGGTAGGAGAAACATCCCCTTGGCCACCTATGGGGTGTCAGGCTGGGGCCACAGGGGCACAGCACACATTGGTTCCTTCCCGCATCTTGGCTTTAGCCTGGCAAATGCCTTCTCTAAATGTAGTCCCACAGAGCCAGAAATTCTCCTGGAGAGTCACCCTGAGAACAGAATGATTAATGGTCAAAGCTGGGTAGGTCACATGGTGCCATGACCTGGAAAAGGGCCAACTCAATTTCTGCAGCCGAGACTTGGGGTAAGACATTCCCCTACCATGCCTGTTAGCTACTTAGTTAAGTTTGAGGCCAGCCTGAGCTAATTGAGACCGTGTCTCAAAACAAAACTTAAAATAATAATGAAATAAAATTTTAAAAACTCCTTAGTTGTCTTTGATTAGTAAGCCTTGGTGGTGCTTGTTATCATCCTTGACCAGCCTAGTGGCACAGATGGGCCCCTTCTTACACTGGATATAATCACTGGTCTGAAGTCTCCTGGTGCCTAGGCCATTGGCCTGCTGTGGGTGCCCCCGAGTGTCACTCATTCTGCTCTGATAGAAGATAGAGGAGGGAATTAATGTCACCAGCTGGCTTCAGAATTCATTTTCTGAGATGCAACCAGGCTTGTTTAGGAAAATGCCTTAATTAGTCCTGAGGGTAGAGAGGGAGGCCCGAAGGACATAAGATGAAAAGGACCGCAAAGACACAGCCAGCATCCTCCACAAGAGAACACAGCAGCCCCTGGCACAAAGCTAGCAAACTCGGAGAGGCAGGAACCAGAGATCAAGAGCCAGGGACAGATGGGGTGTCACACGACCTTCAGAATCTCAGTCTCGGGCCTTGGGGCTGCAATGTGGGGACTGTGAGACAGACAGGACCCGGTGCCCTGCCAGAGCCAGCCCAGCGTGCCATCCAC